ATATAAATCAAGATATACAGAGCGTACAAATAGTGCCTTCGAAGTTATCCGATAATACAAATATTCGAAATCAGAGTTTTAAAGGTCTTATTCACCGAATATACGAACCCAAGCCTATGGCTAACTTTTTACCGAAAATATGGGTCAATCCGTGAAATCCTCTATTGAAATTCAGATAGAATCCTGATAACAACGTGCCCTTGTGTTCAAACTGAGTAAAATCCGGTTGACTTTATACTACATACATATAATATAATATATCGATCAATACGAGAATTAATTTCATGCAATTCAGGGTGCGTTCCTTTCTACAACAGCATATCTTCGTATTTAAAATGGAAATAATTGGAAATTGGTTAAAACAGATTCTAATCTTATTGGAGCAAATTCCTTAAATATTTACCAACAGAAAGCAGATAATGTTTGGACTAATCCTAATTTCACCACTTATTCCAAAAAAATTGCGTCGTAGGATACTTTCAGCAATTTTGTTAACAAACCTGTTGATATCTGTGAACGGAATAGAACTATTCAAAGTAATATATTTTTTATGTTACAGTAAGAAATTAGACAACAACCACACCTACTTCTCATATAGCAAAATTCTAAATTCCATTTAATTCTTTCACTTTCCAGTACACAAAGGAAAGGCAATTAGTTAAACGGGATAAAACTTTGCCTTTGCGTGCCATTTTATGAATGATTCTTTAAATTGTTTAAGTCCAAAAAAAAACTGTTCAAGCCTCTATTTACCGAATATTTGGATACCAGTATCTATAATTGAAATTCAGTGGTAATATTTCTTTGTTAATGGTATGTCTGTCATACTTCGCTTAGACCCTATATACTTCCATCTAATATTGGTCAATATTTGAGTTGAGCGGGAATTACTAAATCTGTGCGCCTAAAATATTTAAATTTTGGCGAAAATTTGCCACGGCACCTATATCAGGATATAGGCGGCTGCGGAAGCGTTAGGATGATTGCCTTGGTTAGGTAGACAATCGGCTGTGGAGTCTTGTCGAACCGATTAAAACTTACTTTGAATCTCTTGAGGACTTCCACGTAAATTCATGGGGACAATGCCTTTGATGTGAAAAAAGACAATGACCATTCACTTTGGATTTGTTCTTTCTCCCCTTCATCATCAGCAACCTCTTCCCACTCTCTAAAAATGCCTGGTGTCACCGAAACACACCACTTCTTGCTAAAGCAATATCTACGTAAACCTTGATCATATCAAACCTCTCTGCCGCAGATTTACCGAGTTTCACACAGAATTTAATCGCGTACCTCTGCTCTAACGAACGCTGCATTTTCGGCTTGCACCACTCACAGAAACACGTCGCGCGAAAATGTTACTCCTGACTTTCCAAATGCTCGGATATAACTGACCAGCCGCTCGTGCGTTAGATAAGAACGCTCTCTACCGAATCGAGTCGGAGCGCTCGCTCCGAACTAAAGTCGCGGCGAATGAAAATCAGTCCTATTATTTTCCAGACAAACACTAACATATTATCATTTTCGTTTTTTTAAGAAACCTTTTGTCGGATATATGGACTTGCTTAGATTTCGATCCTTTGGTTGGCGTTACACTTTGAAGTATTTCCCCGGCTTTAATTCTTGCAATTTGCAATAGTATAAAAAGTTCGGTTGCACCCGAACTTAGCCCTTCCTTACTTATTAAAAGTTCTTTTTTTTTTTAAGTAAAATAATTTATTAACAATTCGCTGATTAAAAGTCAACAACGTTATTATCTAATTATCTATACAGTTAAGTTACTCGTTATATCACAAAATCAGTGTACAAAATCTTTTGTCCATTTCGATTCTCCTTCATCGTCCGTTTACCAGGATGAGTAGTGAGCGTCATAGGCCAACGGCGCAGCATAACTGTGCACAACTGGAGCAGCAGCATAGGATTTGATGATGGGAGCGGCAGCGGCATATGAGGTGTGCACCAAAGGAGCAGAGTGGATGGTCTTCACGACAGGAGCAGAGACATAGCTGGTCTTCACAACKGGTGCCACCACATCCTCCACMACATGWGCTGAGCTGTGCACGATCGACTGGCTTTGATGVGAGACAGCGGTGGGAATGCTCTTCACCACGGAGCCAACTTTAGCYAAGACGGGTTCTTGGTAAGCAACAGCTGCTGGAGCCGAGTATACAACTGGGCTCTCATACAAGTGGCTTGGAGCAGCGGCGGCAACAGCGACGAGGGCAGCAAGGACAAACTGTTGGAAAGTGAAAACAAATTATTAAAATTTCTTACTCTATAAGTGATCCTATTATGGGGTAAGAAGAAGTAAACTTACCAATTTGTACATTTTGTTAATTTTTATTTTTTGACTTCGTAACAAAGAACGATTTTTGACTTATGAGCGTTGTTAGGTGATTGATATCTTTCGGTTGCGTAACCCTCGCTTTTATACTCTTTGCCTACTATACGTGAGATAACCATGAAGCTTAATTAATCCATTAACAATAACAGTTTCGGTAAAAATATTGTATACAACTTTGTTGGTACGATCAACTGGTACTCTGTCCGCATATGGGAATGTTATAGTGTAGTAAATTATAACAGTGTATGAATATATCGGATCGTGTTTTCAATTGCGATTGTGTTAGTGGGTGCAAATATCAGTCAATTCTTCACACACTTTTATGAGAAAAGTCTGTTGCGTACTCTGAATTTACGGTATTATTTATTTATTATTATTATTATCATATTTTTTTTTTTTTGGTATTGAATAATAAAAATTTCAGTTGCTTCTAAGACCTCTCGATTTTACGGCAGCTCGGTCAACGGCTCTTACTTAACAAGGAAAAATATGAGAAATCCGCCAGATATACTCGTAGTGCATTTTCATATTGTTATGTTTCGAAAATAAGAAAGACTGGAAATCAATGTATGTATATAAATGTGTTATACCAAGAAGAAAGATTCGGGTGTAACCGAACATCTATTAATTTCGTCAACAAATACGAGTATGTTTTAATGAAATCCATATAGGAGATATTCCTTAACAGCATTGTGTCCTTATGACTAAAATGGATAAAATCGGGCCAATACTAATCTTATCTTCCATACTACTAAACATAAAAATTTTAAACTTACCGGAGGCTTCATACCGTATATATTGGTCACTATCAAAATTAAATGTTCGTATAATATTGGATATATGTTATTTCTATTAAATTCCACAATATCTCTAAAATATTCTCAAGTTGATCCGAACAATTGTTCGGAGGTACAGCCTTTAGAACGTGTAGACTCGAGGCTAGCTAGGTTAAGTGTCCCGTCTTCAAACGCGTTTTTCTCAAAATTATGACTTTGAAGTCGGTTGGAAAGATTTCTCGACACAGGTCTTTAAGACGTAATTCCATAAGACTTGGATAAAGATTTTTTTCGATTACAACTATTTGGAAAAAAATGTTGCGAAATTTTTACTGAATTTTCACTTTTATTGAAAAAATATTTGCCAAAAATTATTAGTTTTTTTTGTTCCTTCGAACAAGTTCTATGTTAAAGTTTTAACTAAACAACCTTCTCTTTGGCCGAGTTTAAAATTTTCAAAAAATTTCAGATTTTTCTTATTAATTGTGTATGTTTGTAACAATAAAAATTTCTAATAAAATTATGGGCTGTCAAAAAAGTCTAGTTTTATTCGTCGCATCGGGTCATGCTATACCTTTTTGGAAAGCTCATTTCACGCGCTAACACGTGTTTGATTGATTGTCGTTTCTTTCAAGTCGTTCGTGAGTTATAGCGTCGCAAACATGGAGCAAAATGAAGAGAATATACGGCATATTTTACAGTACTTTTACGATAAAGGCAAAAATGCATCTCAAGCCGCCAATAAAATTTGTGCAGTTTATGGACCCGATACATTTCCACCGCACAAAATCGCTGAATTGGTCGAAAGAGAACGGCATAGTAGCAGCCGTAGCATCGGTCAAGAGCTGGGTATGAGGCATCAAAAAATATTTTATGAGCAATTGAAAGTTCAATAAAAATACCGCAAGACTTTTTTGACAACCTAATATATAATTTTTTAAATGAGAAAAAAATTTTGGAAAAAGGCTAGTTTTACCTGAGGAAACCCTTCAATGCAAAAAATGTATGCAATAGAAACGAGAGATATGCAAGGTCCGGTCAGTATGTAAGTTATTCGCATGAAATAGTAGCAATTATTAAAGATAGTCTCAGTATGTGCAAAACTGTGATTTCCATGCAGTTTGATTGCCCTTACCATCTTAAACTGTAAATGTTGGCCAAAATGTGTGATCTTATAATGATATTGAGTTTATAAAAGGTGTACATTTCACTAAAAATAATGTCATTTTATTGTATTTCTCCCTTTTCTCATAAGATATCCTGTTGATCGGAAGTTATAGGGTCGCCCCCGGTTGATCCGACAGAAAAATAACTTATTTAATTAATCAAAATAGTATGAACAACTTCTAATTTATTTATTTACGATCAACTGTTTTATAAAGAAATTTCCTCTCTTTAATGTTTATGCGAATTATGTACATATTTATTTATTTAAATTATGTACATATTCTGCAATAATATGTCTAAACTTGAACCTAAGCAATATCAAATCTGTGTATTCATTACATGAATTCGCCATATACTAAGTTGGAAACGTATCCTCTTCCAGAAAGTAATAAGAGTAAGGAATATGCAGTAAATATAACTATTATGAGTATGGCGAAGTCGTATACAAACTAAGATAGTTTTCTTAAATATTGCTAGAAATATTCAGTGGATCATTAACACCGTAGACATCTACAAAAACAGCGCGCAGCTAACATATGTGCTTGTGCTGGTAATTTCCCTTGCCTACAATAAGATCACAAACAACAAACATAACCCCTCTCACTCACACACGGAATATAACAATCATGACCGTCAATATTTTGTTTTCGTAAGTAAACTGATTCGGTTAAGGCGCCAAAAAAACTATATAAGAAGCGGATAGCCAACAGAAAGACATCAATCAGCTAACAACGCTCAAAAGTTAAAAATCGTTATTTCTCACGAACTCAAAAAACAAAAACTAACAAAATGTACAAATTGGTAAGTTTACTTCTTCTTACCCCATATTAGGATCACTTATAGAGTAAGAAATTTTAACAATTTGTTTTCACTTTCCAACAGTTTGTCCTTGCTGCCCTCGTCGCTGTTGCCGCCGCTGCTCCAAGCCACTTGTATGAGAGCCCAGTTGTATAC